GTTCCAATATCAGCTCTCCATTTTCTAGCTGTTACCTTGGACAGGTCACTCGATCTCCCTGTGGTTCCACTTTATTACGTGTAAGAGGGGTACCAATTTTTACCTTGTAGGTACATTATGAGGGGCCTCGATATAGCCTGGGCCACTGGGACATAGGAACCAGCAGCGACCCTTCACCAAGGCCACAGTCCTCCGTGCCTTTGCCACACCACATTTCTGCCCTGATAACAGACAACCTTAATATCACTTAGGGGAGCAGATTTAGCCATAAAGGGAGCCTGGAAACTACCATACATATAAACCTCCCCTTTTCACTTTCACCCCAGGAAAAATACCTACCCACAGAGATAAGGGGTAGGGGGAAACATAGTGAAGATATTTCTTCAGAGCTATACTGGCCAATACAGCAGCTACTAGCTATATGAGGCTATTTAAACCTAAATTTAAATTAAAAAATTTTTAAATTTAAAATTCAGTTCCTCAGTTGCACTTGACACATTTTAAGCACTCGATAGTCACGTGTGGCTAGCAGCTATCGCATTGGACAGTGCAGAATAAAACATTTCCTTCACTGTAGAATGTTCTGTTGGACAGCACTGTTTTCAGAGAATCTGATAGGAAACCTAAGTCACCAGGTGATACTCACGTATACTCATCAGTTTCTCTCTATTCCACAGCCACAGACCATTCATACCAAATTTGCTGTCACTGGTTAAAAAGTAACCCATTCCTTTCTTCAACAAACCTGTATCAAACACTTGTCACATACCAAACCCTGGGGAAAGATGCCGGTATAGGACACAGCCCAGCCCTTGAGAGGCTGAGGCACTGGGGTGGGTGAGCGGGTGGGGGTAGAGGACAGATGAATACTCAGCAGGTGACTAGTGACCCCAGGCCAGTGTCACACATGAAAGGTGGCACTGCAGCCCTGGGCTGCTGGTGCCCCTCAAGGGAGCCCTGAGTTGGGTCTGGGAACCCTGCCGATGCGAGGGAGGCTGCTCACAGCGTTGCTAGGCATTCCCATCATCCTGCTGGTGCCTCTCCTACAAAGGGTGGGTGTGGAGGAAGCAGAGCGAACCAGAAATGAAGGTAGGGGTTTTTGTTGATTTTACTTCTGCTTGGTATTTACTTCAGAAACATAGCCTCGTGCAAACGGGAGCATTTATCTGCATAGTTCAAGCAGGCGATGATGCCTCAGATAGCATGAAGGAGGTGGGGAAGATGAGAAGGGGAGGAGCATGGGAGAAAGAGGGGCAGAAAGAGACTGGAGGGGGCGCAGGGGGTGAAAGGGACGGAGAAGGGCTGTTCACTGGGATGGGGAAGGACCTGTTCCCTCCCTTCTGCAAGCTTTTAAAGAACTGAATTGGAAGCAATTTCCTGGCAATTTCAGCTATTTATTCCCTCTTAATTTTCTGGTTTTAGGATACAGTTCTGAATGGTTACAGCTCTGCCCTTCCACAAAAATATCAATTCTTCAAAAAAATTAGAATTCCAAACAGTTATTTCATTTTCATACTCACCATCCTGCAACTTGTGTAGCTGTTCTTTTGTTTCCAGAAATTCTTCATCAAACTAAATTTTAAAAAAAGATTAACCCCCCCCAGAAGGTAAATGTCATTACAGATTTAGGACTAAAAATACCAAGTTACTGCCTCAAGAAGCAGAGAGAAAGAGCACACTTAACCCCCACAGATTTGTCTCTAAATAGCACTGCCCACTAAAAGGAACTAGGGCTCCTACAAGAAAAGGTTGATTTTGTTATGCCAGAGAGAAAGGAAGTGCTCGAAGACAAATGAGATATGTCAATGGCAAAGGCATGGAGGATCCTATCTGAGGGGAATTCCCTAGCCAAATCTGGGACAATTCAAGCATCAAAAAGAATGATGTCACTTATGGGTTATCACACAACAACAACAAAATTCGGATGTCCATAAATGATGATACTAAAAAAAGGAAGGGAGAAGGAAAAGCTCTTTTTTAACAACAACTAGCATTAATTAATGTAGAATTAGAAAATACTGATAGAGTTAATTTTATCTAATTAATGATAAAATTAAAAAATCACCAATGTGCAACCTCCAGTGTAATAACTAATTCCAATAAAAATCAAAATAGATGCTGAAGTCATTGGCATACAGAATATTCATACAATCTCTAAGTATCATCCCACAAGTTACTTAATTATGATAAAGAGAAAACGCATTTTTTAATGGAGAGATCTGGAGATTTTACGATCTAACTGATCTAAGTGATCATTCTTAGCTCCCCAAAGGGGAACAGTCCACATCCTGTGCTGCCTGTTTTGACTCAGTGAAAAGGACACAGAACACCCTTTTTCAAACACTGCCAAAAATATTGCCTTTCCTATAGGAAATGTATTTCAATGTAATTAAATAGTTAATGAATGAAAATTACTCTTTATAAGGGAATCACAGTTAATAAGCTCAGGTGAAATGACAGAAATAGAAAATTTTCCATTTTGTACTCTCTAACAATGATGATGACCAATAGCTGCTAAAACCATTAGCTGAAAGGGTAATAGCAGAAGCTATAATGCGTGGATAGGCTGATCTCATGAGAACACACTCGTCAAGCTTAGCATCACTGAAAATGAGACAACTAGGCATTAGACAGCCCCTGATGTGGTACAATAGATGTATGTTCATGGTATCTCCTGTGACATGTGACATAGTCTGGCAGGGGAAAAAAAGGTTCAGAAAGAAAAAAAGGAAACTGCATCTAATCAGACTTCTGGGTCTAATTAGTGGTTTATAGGAAATATAGAGAATACAAGAGCACGTTAAAATCAGGGTAGCCTCATTTTACCATGTTACCTCAAGGTAACACCTTGAGGGTAAATAAGCCAAATCCAGAATGAGGGAAATTCTACAGGGCAGTTTCTCCCAGAAATAAATGGCACTAGAAACAAATGCAGACACCTAGCAGTCAGATCTTGGCTGCTAATACCATTTTCTATTCAAAGGGACTAGGGCTCCTCGGAGAAATCCCTGGTTCTAGGGTTAGGGCAGGGAAACTACAAGATAAGCCTGGAGCATCTTGTAGTGTCAGAAACTAAGGAAGTTCTAAGAAAAAAAAAAAGAGGAGGCCTACCTGAAAGAGCCCCAGTGGTGGCAGCTGGAACAATTTGAGCAAAAAAAAATAAATAGAGTACTACTGGCTTATAACCCAAAGTATAAAATCAATATACTTAGGTCCATAGTGATATAAAGAAAGAACTGAATAAATAAATAAGTGGGGTTGGGGTGGAGTGTAAATCTTCCTTACATAAGAATTCCAAATGTAGAGACTCCCTCCTCCAAGAGGTAGAGCTTAATTCTCATTATTTTGAACATGGGATGGACTTAATGATTTGCTTCCAAAGAACAGAGGGGAAAACAGTAACTTTACAATGGAGGAACCTGGCAGACACAACCTTAACCAAGTGATCAAGGTTAACATCCCCAGTGATAATTCATGTTGATATCATATAACCTGATGGAGTTCGGATGTGTTGTCCCTTCCAAAACTCATGTGGAAATTTGATCTCCAATGTGGCAGTGTTGGAAACTGATTGAGTCATGGGGACAGATCTCTTATGAATGGATTAATGCTCTCCCTGGGGAAGGGGAGAGTAATGAGAGAGTTCTTGCTCTATTATTTCCTGCGAGAGCTTGTTGTTTATAGGACCCTGGCACCTCCTCTCTCTCTCTTGCTTCCTCTCGCCATGTGATCTGCTTGTACCCGCTGGCTGCCTGCCACTTTCCGCCATGAGTAGAAGCAGCCTGAGGCCCGTGCCAGATGCAGCTGTCCCAGAATCCTAAGCTGAATAAACCTCTGTTCTTTATAAATTACCCAGTCTCGGGTAATTCTGTTATAGCAACACAAAACGGACTAAAACATAACCCCTGAGATGTTGCAAGGAGAAGGGCACTTCACCTCTTTTGCATTCTCCCCCAAAAACCATTAACCCCAGTCTAATGAGAAAGGTATCAGACAAACCCAAATTGTGGAGGCTTCTATAAAAATACCCAGTACTTCTGAAAACTGTCAAGGTGGTGAAATAAAGGTGAAAGATTGAGAACTGTCACAGACTGAGGGGAACAAAAGAAACCTGATGACAAAATATAATGTTGGATCCTGGAATAGTAAAAGGACATTAGTGGAAAAACTGCTGAAATCTGAATAGAGTCTGCAGTTTAGTTAGTCACGAACCAATGTAAATTTCTTAAAATGACATGGTTGTGTAATTTGTTATCATTAGAGGAGACTGAGCGAGGATTATATAGAAACTTTCTGCACTATTTTATGATTTTTCTATAAGTCTAAAATTATTCCCAAATATAAAATTTATTTTTCAAAAATGCAGAAGAAACTGTTACAGATTTTTTTAAATAATGAAAGAAACATAATCAAATGCAATGTGTAAGCCTTGTTTAGATCCAGACTGTATCAAACTATAAAAAAAAAAAAACCTATTTGAGACAATCGGACTGTTAGATGATAAGAAATTATTAATTTTGTGTGTGATAATGGTATGGTATTGTTATATTTTAAAATCCTGATCTGTTAGATATAAATATTAAAGTACTATACTCACAGAAGAAACGATATGATGTTTGTGTTTTGCCTTAAAATGCTCCCACAAAATAAGCGGAGGGAAGAGATAGATGAAACAAGATTAGCATGAAGCTGAAGCAGGGTGATGGGTACATAGAACTCATGACAATGTTCTCTTTGGATTCGAAAATTTTTCTAACAAAAAGCTAAAAGAACAGAAGAAGAACAAAAACAAAAACACAGTAAGTCAAGGCTTAAACGTATGCAGGCAAGATACCAAGGCTGCCAGTTTGAAGTCATTGAAGTAAAGAGGAAATTTACCCAGGGATTATACAATCAAAAGTTCTGAGAGTTAGTAGCAAATTTCAGGTTAATTCCCTTTCTCCGAATTAATAAATCTTCATTGGTGGTAGATCAGAAGCCCATAAGTAAAAGTCAAAATAAAAATAGAATTCTACTAAGTACATTCAATTTATAAAGAAAAATCCCCTGGGAAGAAGAATCTCCTAACTCAGTGAAGTACATATGGAAGAGGACTAGGACTGAACGGTGCTCTGAAACTTATTTTTCCCTCAAAGGTCTCAAAGTTGTATGTCAAATCTATGAAGAAACAGTGTCTAGTGTACCTCGACTCCAGCAGCAGCTAAAAGCCATCTGACGGATTCCATCCGACCTCGTCCGTTCGGATAGTGGAGCTTGGGCCTCGCTGCCATGACGGCTTTTCACGCTTTCTGAAAAACAAAGGCAGCGGCTCCTCGCACACGAAGAGTCTTAATTTCGTGTCCTCAACACAGTGCTACGGGCTTAATGAATATTCAGGATTTTTGTACAGGAAGTTTTTAAAAAAATTGCTGCGTTTTCCCTTATTCAATAAAAACATACCACCGTTTTAAAACACGGGAAAAATCCAGCGACTTGGGCTTTCATATCGTTTCTATATGATTTCTTATTCTGGATCTTGAGAAGCTGGGCCACTTGTTGTAAAGACATCTGTGCTAGCAGTAAGGTATTTCAAGGATTCAGAACATCACATACTTTGACCCCGAGAATCGTAGATTTTCCAAAGTCAGCTTGGTGATGCAAGACACAGAGGGTCGCGCTGGAAAACTGCACACCCACTGGAACCTCCCCAAACATTCATGCTTTCACAATCATCGTCCTGTTTGTTTTATTACCACAGCAACTGGGAGGTGGGCCGACCGAGATTACTAGCTCCTGCAAAATGTGCGTCCATCGTCACGCCTGCAGGGGCTGTCCCCGGGTACCGCACCCCCCGCCACACACACACCGCCGTGGGAGATGAGCCCCCGGCCTTACCAAATGCTCCCAGGCCAAGCGAGGCTCGGCCATCTGAGCCCAGACTCCCGGGGACTCCGCGTCTCCGCTCAGCCCACGCAGGGCCCGAGCGACCGCCCGGCCAGGACCCGGGACCATCTGAGCCTACCTTCCACCAATGGATTCAGACTCCGCAGAGGGGGTTAACTAAATATCGGCATAGCCAGCCGAGAACCGCCTCACCCCCCGCCAAGGGTACCACGTCCGCTCAGATGCGGGCGGGGGCGAAATACAAGAGGGGGGGACACAGAGGATTGAAAGGAGCGGGGTGAGGGATGGATGGCAGAGTTAGAAACTGGGAGGAGGAGAAAGCAGACGAGGGAAAAGGGCGGGTGGGGACGGCAGGGGACAGACAGACCTGGAGCGCGCTCGGAGCGCTGTGACGGAGCCTCACAGCGCGCGCAGCCGGGGGTCTGCAGCTGGCCGAGCCGCTAGGGTGGAGAAAAGACGCTCGAGATGGGCGAGGCTCCGGGAAGAGCTCACCAATAGAGACGGCAGTATTTAGCATGCCCCACCCATCTGCAAGGCATTATGGATAATGTGGAAATAGCCCAAATTCAAGTCAGTTTCACTTAAAGTTTAGCATTTTGAGGATGAAATGACCTTCGTCTTGCTGGTTAGCTTTGGTCTTAATTAACATCTCCTGTTAGAAATACGGCACCATACGGAATTCAACCTACGTGAAAAGTTGCAAATCTCTTTAGGTTTATATAGCTTGCATCTAGCAGTTTGCTTTCGGATGTGAGGGCGATCTGGCTGCGACATCTGTCACCCCATTGATCGCCAGGGTTGATTCGGCTGATCTGGCTGGCTAGGCGGGTGTCCCCTTCCTCCCTCACCGCTCCATGTGCGTCCCTCCCGAAGCTGCGCGCTCGGTCGAAGAGGACGACCTTCCCCGCTAGAGGAGAGGACCGTTCTTCGGTCAAGGGTATACGAGTAGCTGCGCTCCCCTGCTAGAACCTCCAAACAAGCTCTCAAGGTCCATTTGTAGGAGAACGTAGGGTAGTCAAGCTTCCAAGACTCCAGACACATCCAAATGAGGCGCTGCACGTGGCAGTCTGCCTTTCTTTTAACTCCCCCAAACTTACTAGATGAATTTTTTTTAACACAAAAATACAGACACAAATACATATAGATTTTTCTCTTCTTTCTTCCTTGATCCCAGTGGATCTTCTTAAGCTTTCTCTTCATTTTGTACATTTTACAGACAAGTGCTCTAAGCCACAAGCTAAACACAGTACCTGAATGGAAGGGGGAAGTTGGAGGGTGAAGTTGGGGACGTGAGGGTGGTGCTAAAAAAGTAATTTGGTTGGTAAACAAGTTAAAACTAAAAAATATATTAAAATAATCAAGGTCATATTATGGAACAAAATGCAAAATTCACATATTTTAAAGTTAAAAATATATGTCTTCGAAATTATTTTTTGTTTTTAGAGGGAGCTTCTGCTATTTCTCAGATAATAGATGTTGTTGATTATTGTCTTCACCCATGAAGGGCTCTTGAGAGTACCTTGCTTGAGAAGCCTCCAGTGCTGAACAATTGCAGCAATTTTACATGATAGATTTTATTTTCAGTAGATTTCTCTGGCGGAAGTGTAAAGAATGAATTGGGACAGTGGGGGTAGATCTTTCTGCGAAATCTAAGTGTCCCTGGGAATTAAAGTAGCATCATGAGTTTGAAGAAAATGGGTAAGAAAAGGTGAGATATTAAGTGGGTAGAAGGCAAAGGATTTACTGATCCAGTGGAAGGGAGGGGAGGAAAAGGAAAAGTACGAAATGATGCCCTCCACCATACACACACACACACACACACACACACTTCCTTACCCACTCTATTTGTCTGTTTTTCATAACATTATTGTCATCTAACATACATTTTAAAAATGTTATTTGATTGTCTGTAGATGAACTAGCATGTAAATTTCATGAGCTTTAGAAACATTTGGTTTTTGTATGTCCTGATTAGTGTAGAGTAGGCATTCAGAGAATACTCCTTGAATGAATGAATGAACATGCTTTTAAAGGGTTTCCAGCTCCATAAAGAATAGAGGAGGAAGACAAAGTTTGAGAGAGATTAGTTGATTTGTCTTTCATTCCTATGAGCCATCCAACTGGAAATGTCCACTCGACCGTTGAATAAGCCAGTGATGACGCAGCCAGAAGAGAGGACTGAGAAGGATCAAATTGGCTGCAAAAGGATGAGCTTACCCAGACAAAGTATGTAGAGAAATAAAAGAGGTAAGTCAAAGACAGCTGGGGCATCCCAAGAGTCAGAAAAGTCACTTTTAAACAATACTAACAGTATATATCCAGTTTCATCTTTCTAATTCTGACCTAACACAGAGATCACTCAGTTTATCACGGATAGGAAGCCATATTTCCCAATCCTGATGAAAGCGATCATTATTTATTCATTTTTTCCTATGCATCTTTGGGGATTTACTTTAATTGAACTAGATAGGAAAAGTATTATTATTATTCAGCTTTGCTGATAAGCCAAGCACTTATCTTCATTTCCCTAGTCCTAATTGGTTGAATCATTTCAAATTGATCTCATTTTACATTTTTTTAACCTTCCAAAACAGCAATTTCATATGTCTGACCTTATAAAATAGGGGTAACCTCATTCTAGCAGCCCTGTTCTCCTGGAAGAGTAACTAACGTAGTACCATAAGACTTTTATTATTATATAGGCTTATGGAGAAATGAAAAATCCTGTTGTAATAATTCTATCATTCTATGATGGGTACCCTAAGGACATTTTATTCCTTGAAAGCTGCTGAAATCATTCTATTCTTGGAAACCGTTGGAGTTGCCCTCAGTCTGGGACAATCTCACTCAGTGCATATCTACCTACCTGATACACTTTCAGAGGCCTGGGAAGTCCTCTCGGCCTTAACCCTTAATCTGCCCACTCGGTAGCAGGTAAAATTGCTTTAACAAAAATCAAGAGCTTTCAATCTCACTTTGAGAAAATGTTTATATGTAAATACTCCAGGAAGAGGAAAACAATTGGCTTAAATTAAATTTGGTTTTAGTTATAAATGGCCAGTAGTTATTAGACCCCGTCCTAATAGCAGGTTTTCATATCAGAGAAAATTGCTCAGATCTTGAAACTGTGGGAAGGGGCAGGGTGGGCCCAATGTGAAGCCAAAAGATTAGAAAAAAGCCAACAATTACACAGTAAGAATAGCTGTGTTCCGATGCTAAGGGGCACATTTAGGGATTCACCAAGACCAGTTTGATTGGTAGATCATGATCCTACAAAGTTCTTTCAAGGAGTCAAAGAATGTTTAGAAAATGTATTTCATGTGGCATCTGTATGTAGTTCATCAAGTTATCAGCTTCTTTTGAAGGTTTAAATTGTATATGTAAAAGTGCCGTGAAACACTAAAAACCATACAAGGTAGGTATTGTGAAAGTTTGCTGGTACCAAAATGGAGTCACTTATGTCAAACTCTAGCAAACTGGAGTCACAGAGGCCATAAAAAAGAAGCCCTCATGCACACAGGACTTACCACAAGAACTCCCTCAGGATGCAATATTTCAGATAAGCTTCTTGCAGAACATTTGCCTATCAACAGCTGTATCAGCCAATAAGCTAACACCAAGGCCTGTAACAAACCCCCAGCCTTTGATCGTGTAACCTTTAGTTTCAAAACAGTCTATGTGGACTCTCTTTGTCTTTAAGAAATTTCCCCTTTTCCTGACCCCTCTGGGTATGCTATAGCCAGCCATAGCTTGTGTGCCCTGAATAGCAATTCTCTGCTATTCACAAATAAATTTATTTATTCTGGAGAGCCTGTCTCTCTGAGTTTCTTTTTAGGTTGACAAAAGTGTGATTAAATCAGCAATAAGAAATTATTTCCACCTGCTTTAAAAAAAAAAGGAAAATACTCACCTAACTTACTAAAAGCTGAGTTAAAAACAAACAAACAAACAAAAACAAAATAAAAACACCTCTACACTATGGGATAAATATTCCTGCTGCTGGTAATTGTATGCTTCCAATTTCACAGCAATAACACTATACTAAGCATTAAGAAGTTATAAAATATCAAACTTCCAAATGAACTAACATATGAAAATAGAAAATACTAACATTATCTTTTGATGGAAGAGCATAAAAACAAGAACAGAACTCAAATTAATTTTTCTTAAACTGTGACTTTATTTGGAGAATTTTCCTTATATAGAGTTAACATTTTTGAACACCTTAGGACAAACTACTCAAAAGCAACATTTTATTTCAGAAGTGTCTTGCTTAAGTGGTTTTCTGTTCTCCTATCTTATTATTATGAATATTTGCTTTATAAATAAATATAATCTCAGGTACTCCTTATAATCAAATAAGGTGCCTAAACTGCTCTCCGTACTGAGATATATGTGATCAGAAGACTTTGTTCAGGTCACTTTAAATTCACATTAGCACAATGTCTGTAGGAAACTGATAATACAGATTAATGTGATATTTGTCTCCAGTTATCCTCTTAATAGTTTCCATGAGAAGGTCCTCATAATAAATTATATAAAAGTACAGTACATTTGGTTGGAAACTGTAAAAATAATTCTAAAAATTAACTACATATATTAAACAAACAAGTTACTACAGTACACTTAAAATGATATAAAATAATTAGAATATCAAACATTCTCCTATAAACATATTGCTTTTGGACATACATTGGGCTGAAACATACAGCCTGCATTCCTTTTTTTCTCTCCTAAATGGCACAAAACAATGGCCAGATGCTAGGGAGATGCTACTTCATGAGAAAACATGGTGCCCATTAACTCCAACGATACCTGTATTTATACTTAAAACAATCTTTGTTTCGTGTTGCCTTGTGTTTAATTTTTGATAACTCCAGAAGATGACATAATGTCACTTCATTAGATGTATATAGTCCTTTAGGCAAGAAATGTGTCTAAAAAATTGTTTGAAAATCAATTTTCTTCCTACTTGAGCTACCTTCCTATCTTTCATACGTGAACTGGGTGAGGGCTTAGGAATTATTGTAATTTTATTGTAAAATGAACACTCATGTCAAGAGTAGCATACATGCAAGTGCAACTTTCCCTGCTGTGCTTGCTCTACCTGGGGCACACCTGTACCCCAAGGCACACCACTGTCACTGAACTTTTGGGTACAGAATGGGAGCCAACCTTGTACCATTTCCTGATATCCCAGAAAGCTTTCTGACTGTAAATGAGGTATAGTCATAGACAGATACAGTTAAACTCATCATTGCTGTTGGTGTCTTGCATGACATTTTATAATTGTGTAATAACTAAAATTATACACAAGTAGCACTTTATTTTCACTTAACAAAAAAAGGTCATTATTCCCTTCTATAGTACATAGCATGTACACACAATTTGTCCTTTACCCATTTAGGGGGAGAAAGTGTACATTATAGGATCTTGCTAGTTCTTTAGAATTTTGATTGTTTTTCCAGTCTTCTGCTTTTCTCAAACTGTGCATCAGCTTCTTGACTTTCATATGAATAAAACATGTTTGGCTCCCCAAGGGAAGGTGTCTGCTGGTAAACAAAGGAAAGTATAAAAGGAAGAAAGTGAAGTATTTTCTGAAGTTGGACTCTACAAAAGTAGTAGAAAAACAATTTTATAATGTGTGATAGCTAGGTAACTAGGTTTTAATGACCTTAACATAAGCCAGAGTACCAAGCATATGCTATTCAACAATCCATTTTCTTCTCTAAGGGGTATTTACAATTCAAAACCCGCTTTCCAGCAAGCTCGGGAAGGTTTCAGATTAATTTACGTATATACAATGCAGAAAGGGAAAATAAATATTAACTTTATAGTAAAGGACTCATCTCTGAAAACACATTTTCTGTTGCTTTAGATAATGAGTTGAGAATATAATACAGAAATGAATTCAGCTTCAACTTGTGCTTGCATATACATTTTACAAAGCTTTGCCGCCAGCTTGTTAACAAGAAAATATCACCTATTTAATCCACATCTGTTATGTGCTTTTCTCATGCCCCTAAGGATCATAGTGCTTGGTCAAGTATATTTTTTGAGCCAGATTCTCTCTGAAACATAAATTACTCCCTGATTTTAAGTTAGGGCTCTTTGGAAGCCACACTAATTTGCTCAGGCTGCAATGTATTATTAATACACCAAAGCAATCATTTACCAACTTATTAGGTTGAACCATATGAAAGTGCCTATACTCATTTTAACCTACCATTTTAACCTACAAAAATGATTATTTTTTGGGTTCAACTTGCTGTATACTGGAACCTGGAACCAAAAGAGCCCTGAGAAAATGTCAGTCAACACACTGTTGAGATTACATCGCATTCACTGGTGGTGACCTTCCCTCTTGCCCTTAAAGTAACCATAAGCGGAGGCAAATGTGACATAGAGATGGACAAGAGTGGACCTTTTGTCTTTTTCTGTCTCCAAACTAGCTTTGTCATTTTCAAAATTGCTGTAAACATTCCTCTCAATGGAACAGCTTCTGCCCAGCAAATAAGATTTCTCACTCTTGAAAGAAACTACACAAGGGTTAAGAGTTCAAATGTGGCATGCTGTGGACACTAACATTGTGGCAACCATGACTTCCTAGAGAAGTGGAACCTCTGCTGTAAATCTTTTCTGCTCCCAAATGTCCTGAGAATTTGGCTAGGACATAAGATTGATTATTCTTTGGCTGCTCCTAGCCAGACCCAGAGAACTGAGCTGAGTGCAAAACTCCTTCTCAGTTATTATAATTAAAAATCTTCCGCTGCTTTGAAACTTAGTTTTTTTGGTCATATGTCTTGGCCGGGATATAAGTTTAATTGACTATGTTAACCTTTATGCTGAGAACATTTTGAGGTGAAAAGCTTATTTTTTATGGGTGCTTATAAAATTTCCTTCAAAAAGGGAAGAAAATGGAATGTGATGGCATAGCATGATTAAATTTGGTTTCACTTGGATATCTGCAGCCACATTAGAGGGTGCTGTGCACATTTCGAAAAAAAATTTACTTAGAGTTCTTTCACCTGGGGAACAAAAACAAAACAAAGCAAATTACATAATAGTACTTTTAGAACAACATAGTGGTATCAAAAAAATCAAACCAATGACAAGATATTAAGAAAAGCAGAGGATCACTTTTCTAAGAAAGTCTGAAGTACCTAATGTGCCACATTTAAAATTTAACCCTTTCACAAATATCCATACACATTGAGTAAATAACTCTCTATCGCATAGCCTTAAATTGCCCCCCTGTTGCAATACTGTATTATTATTATTACATTTTTCAAAATCTGTATAAAATATTATCTGGAACCCCAAAGGAAAATCAATTAACCTTTAAAAAGTTCATTACAAAGTTGACTGTATAAAATGCTAAAACATAATCCGTATATACAAAATGCTGTTGTTTACGAAAATAATGGGACCCAGTTTTAGAATAAAATAATTTTATACAAAAAAAGGGTACTGCATTCAAATCAATATTTTAAAAAAACTTTAAAGAATATTGAAATGTTTTAGTTTCAGAAGAATAACTATAAAGTGTTTGCTTTCACACCATCTGCACATTTCTTGCAGACAGAACGTGAGTTGGCCAAGGGAAAGTGTCCTGCTTTCCCCCGCAAAAGGCTTCATCACTGAGACAGTCATCGCCGAGATGCGTATTTGGAAGCCCAGTCTGTCCGGCCGTGTACTGGCTGGGCGGCTGGGGGCCGTGGTATCAACCCAGGAGTGCTTCTAGGCTGGGTGTGGAAGAAAGGTCGCCCAGGATGAGGTCTCACAGCCTTCAGAGAAGAATAACCTGCAATGAAAAAGAAAGGCTGGCTTGACTGATAGGGAACCGATGCAAGCAAAGTGCAGATATGTGTATCTTGGTGACAAAAATGCCAGAAAATGAGTTCAAGAGGAGCATTTTGTCTCCTGCTCACAGTCTTCCTTATCTCAGTAAAGGACAACCCCATGATTATAGCTGTCAAGACGAAAATATTGGTGTTATTCCTGACCCCTCTCTTTTCCTCATATCCCACGTGTAATTTCTCAGTAAGTCTTATTGGCTTTACCTTGAAAATATACTCAGAATCTGGCAACTTTTTACCAACTCAACTATTAGCACCCTGGCTCAAGCTAGCATCATTTCTTGCCCAGATAATTGCAACAGCCCCCTAGTTGGTTTCCTGCTTCCGACCTTCCTCTGGCATCAGTCTGTTGACAACCAGCAGCTTGAGTGACGCTGTGAAGATAGATGTCAGATCACCTCACTCCTCCACTCAAAACCCTCCAATGGCTCCCACGTTGCTCAGAGTCCATGACAACATGTTTACAGTGGCCTGCTGCAGTGCTGTCACCCCTCTGACCTCCTCTTGCTACTCCCCCTCTCACTCAACGCCACTCTTGCACTCTGGCCTCCTTGCTACTCCTTGAATTTGCCAGGCCTGTCCTGCCTCAAAGCCTGTGCACCTAAGAATCACTCACCTCCTTCAAATCTTTACTCAATGACTTCTTGGCAGTGAGCTCTTCTTGGTTACCCTATCTAAAATTGCAATCTGTACCCCACACTCCAACCCCACCATCCCTACTTCCTGCCTCCTTTGTTTTTCTCCTTAGTGCTTATGAGCATCTGACTTACTATTTTATACTCATTCAGCTTACTTATTATCTGTAGAGTGCAAGTTCACAAGGACAGGGAGTTCTGTCTGTCTCATTCATTGGTGGATCCCAGGCCTATGACAGGCCTGGCACAAAGCAGTTGTTCAATAACTATTTGTTGATTCAATTCATAAATAATCTGAAATAGAACTTACCAGGGGAGGGCCGGCCTGTGGCTCACTCGGGAGAGTGCGGTGCTGATAACACCAAGGCCCCGGGTTCGGATCCCACATGGGGATGGCCGGTTCGCTCACTGGCTGAGCGTGGTGCTGACAACACCAAGTCAAGGGTTAAGATCCCCTTACCGGTCATCTTTAAAAAAAAAAAAAAAAAAAAAAAAAAAAAACTTACCAGGGGAAGGGTCTGGAATAGGTGCCAGGTGTACCCTCTGTATAGCAGAACCAATTTCTTTTTTCAGAAAGGAAGGAATATAGTTTCCAGTCAATCCACTAGAACTCGTAGAGCTGGAACCAACTGATGTGCAAAAGCAAGAGCTCATTACTACAAAGACACATACCCACAACACCAACAGGGTTAAAAAACAGCAGTGCAGAACAATAAAATAATTAAGTTTTTACTTTTAGAGGAAAAAAAAAGAATTAAGATGAAAACAGTGAGTTTTGAGCAGAGCATTCCATCACGCCACACTGTCAGAATGACTAGGAGGGACAAAGACAGCTGTTCTAGTTGACAGCAACCAAATAGAGGATTGGTTGTTGAATTTAAAAAGGAGAAATTTGACATTTTTTTTTAAATAAAAATAGATTCAGTTTGTTCTGAAATTTGCTTTTTCACTCCATAATAATAGAATAGTTACCCTGCTGTGTCAGTAAATACGAATTCTAGAATATGGATAAGCCATAATTTATTTAATCATTCTCTTATTGATCAACACACAGGTTATCTTAATTATTTAGCTATTACAAATAAGTATATACATTAAATATTCTTGTCCATAATCAGAAAAATTAACCACTATTTAAAAATATTAATTACATTCACTTTTTAAGTGATTTCTACCTGAGAGTGCTTTAAGGGCAGGGACTGTATATTACTCACCTTTGCATTCCAGGAGGTTAATGAAATGCCTTGCATATAATAGGTAATCAACTAATATTGGATGGATGAATGCATATCTATAATTATTATTATCTAGGCTTAAAAGTGCACATGGAATAATGAAGAATGTTGTTATTGGTCGTTATACAAACAGAAATTCTATCCATTAGGAAAATAGTTAATAAGTGGTAGAGCTGCTCTGTCTTCACAACACAGAGTGTTCTTGGCAATTGCTTAAGGCAGAGTGGGAATGCATGCACGAGTAGTTATGTTGGTCAGCTGGAGTGCATTTTGCACTTTGGTGAGTAAAGAAATATGAATAAAAGGGCCAGCCCATGGGTCACTTGGAAGAGTGTGGTGCTGATAACACCAAGGCCACGGGTTCAGATCCCTACATAGGGATGGCCAGTTAGCTCACTTGGGAGAGCGTGGTGCTGACAACACCAAGCCAAGGGTTAAGATCCCCTTACCAGTCATCTTTCAAAAAAAAAAAAAAAAAAGATCCCCTTACCAGTCATCTTTTTTAAAAAAGGAATATGAATAAAAATGGGAAGAGACTTTGAATGGGTAAGACACAAAAAGGAAAAAACTTATAGTCAATAAACACAAGAAAACATGATGAACCTCATTAGTAAACAGAACATGCAATTTTGAACCACAATAAGATATCACTTCACACCCATCAGATTAGCACAAATTTCAGTCTTGACAGTACCAAGCAGCAACAAGGATGTAGAGTAACTCTCATACCCTACTGGAGAGCAATTTGGCAATGCAGGTATCTGTAAAGTCGAAGATGAGTACATCCTTTAACCTGAAATATTTACTCCTAGATATTACACCCAGAGAAACCCTAACTCATGTGCACAGCACTAGGCGTATAATAATGTCCATTTCAGCAGTCTTTCTTTCTTTCTTTTAAATTTATTTTTTAATTGACATGTGTTGATTGTACATATTTATGGGGTACAGAGTTATATTTCAATACATGTGTACAACATGTGATGATCAAATCAGGGTAATTAGCATATTTCTCACCACAAAAAGTTATCATTTCTTTGTGATTTCTGAGCTCGTCTCTGTACAATAAATTATTGTTAATTATAGGTGTCTAGCACTACTGTATACCACTAGAACTTATTTTTCCTATCTAGCTGTCAGCACTCTAACAGCGAACTTTAAACAACTTACGTGTTCATAGAGAAGAGAGGGAATAAATAAATTATGGTCTACTATAAATAATAACTTTGGTATTGCATAGACATATAATTGCTACACACATTTATTAAAATGAGTGAAGCGGCAATCCGGGATTATGTTCATACAAATTTTAAACATGACAAGCCACACTATGAATTTCATAAAAATTTTTTTAAATGCACAGGAATAATAAACACCCAAATGTGGCCAGTGCAGGGGCGGGGAGAAAGGGAACTGGGAGGGAAAGGCCTAAGACACTGGGCTTCATGTGTATTTGCAAAGTTTGACTTCTTAAGCTGGGTGGTGGGTACATGGGTGTTCTATTATCATGAGAGAGATATTATTTCTTTCTTTTCTTTGTTTCTTAGAACAAATGAACACCTAATGGAAGAAGGCAGGAAGAAGTGAAGCCCAGATGTTTACATGGCAATGTAGAAGGGGAAGCAACAAACAGCAGGGGCTGCCTGGGAGGGAAAATGACATGGGTAATGGGTCTGTGAGCCTGGCGGACTTAATGAAATTCATTCAGCCACTTAACAGAAAAAGTGGGGAGGGGCTTCCCAACTGCCCACCTTCGAACCAGAAGGGATTCTGAAGCCTTGGGCGTGAGGCTGGATCATCAGATAGGGGGGAAAGCTGGATGGAACCAAGCCACTTCCACCCAAGAGGAAGGTTGCTCACACAAGCCAGGGCCTCAGAGGTCAGACTTGGTAAGAGTACATGAAGATACATTTGCTTTTCCCTTGAGCCAGTGAAGACTAGGCTGTACTTCCCAGCTACTCTTGAAGGAAAGCCCCTGTGGGAGCCAGCTGAGCCCCAAGGACTGCTCCCAAGAAAGAGAGACAAGGGCAGGGCTAGAAGAAGCCTAGATTTTCATACCAGGAAGGCCTCGTGGTCCCACAGCACGTCCCACATCTCTCTGTACCCACCTTGCCAAATCCAGAGAATTTACTTTTTGTTAGGAGCTAATAATTGTTACTCACCTGAATTTATTTTGCTGATTACTGATACTGTTCCTGAAGATTTTCCAGACAAACTGGAACTAGACCATGGATTAGATGGAATAAAGTCCTTGCCTGGATTCGGGAGTATGCCATTCCTTATATTTATTCCTAATAGAGAAGAAATTATTTTAAAATGCAAAATACAATGGACGAATGGATAAAGAAACTGTGGTGAGTGTGTGTGTGTGTGTGTGTGTATTGTGTGTGTTTACAAACACAACATTATTATTCAGCCCTAAAAAGAATGAGACCTTGCTGTTGGCCACAACATGGATGAGCCTAGAGGACATTATGCTAAGTGAAATAAGAAAAAAGAAAAATATTACATGATTTCACTTATATGTGGAATCTAAGAAAAGAAAAATTCAAATATACAGAGACAGAACAAAATGGTGGTCACCAGGGCAGGGTAGAGGGGAGGAAATGAGGAGCTACAGGTCAGAGGATACAAGGAGCAGACATGTAGGATGAACAAGTCTGGAGGTCTAATGTACAGCATGAGGGCGATAGATAATAAAATTGTACTGTATATGAGATTCATGCTAATGAGTAGATTTAGCTGCACTTGACACCACAACAAAAAAACGGGTAACTTTGTGAGATGATAGATATGCTAATTTCATTCACTCTAGAGACCTTTTTATGATCTATATGTACCGCATAACATCATGTTGTAGACCTTAATTACATACAATAAAATGTATTTAAAATGCAAAATACACATTTAATCTTACACCACACTTCAGAGATGAAATTAACACAGAACAATTTGTCAAAAACTTTCTGTGATGCAATCATCCAAGCAAAAAGTGTGGTGATGCCATCTGACAGATGGCATAGGAAAGATGCCGTCTTTGGGTTTAGCGTGTTGTCTCCCTTGGGGGTGGCCTGAGAGAGGTCTCTTATGCATCTACCAGCAGATCTGTCCATGTCTTGACCCTCTGGTCTGTCCTGGGCTTCAGTGCTCCTGGACATTCCAATCTTCCTCCTTCACAGATCACTTCCTTCCTATCCTGATAGAGTTTGGATGTGTTGTCCCCCCAAAACTCATGTGGAAATCTGATCTCCAGTGGGACAGTGCTGGAAGCAGTTTGAGTCATGGGGGCGGATCCCTCGTGAATAGATTAATGCTCTTCCTGGGGGAGGGGGGCCTGAGTGAGATCTTGCTCTATTAGTTCTTGTGAGAGCTGGTTGTTTAAAAGACCCTGGCACCTCCTCTCTTTCTCTTGATTCCTCTTGTCGTGTGATCTGCCTGTACCTGTTGGCTATCTGCCACTTTCCACCAGGAGTAGAAGCAGCCTGAGGCCTGCACCAGATGCAGCTGCCCCAGAATCATAAGCCAAGTAAAACTGTGTTCTTTATAAATTACACAGTCTCAGGTATTCTGTTACAGCAACACAAAATGGACTAATACATGTCCCTTTCCAGGTTCTTCTCCATTCCCCACCTCTACCCTCCCATTCTGCAGCCCTCTGCTCTCTTCTTTTTGCATTTTCTCCTGCAAGGTTCCCCTTCTTACCTGATCTGGACCATCATCACCATCATGTGCTGAGGACTCTCACCTGTCCCAGAAACCCTCACTGACTCTGGTCCCTCACACTCCAGGCCTCGCAGAATGTGGCTGCCTTGACCTTGATCTCCCTCACTTTGCCTCAAGCCAAAGCACTTTCTCTGTAGAACGCTCATGTTTCCACTCATGTGGAGCACTGCAGCTATTTTCCAAAACTGAAAATTTGAATTTCTTTTTTATCCTTCTCCTTCTTCTCCTAGGAGCCTCTGATTTGCTCCCTGCTCCTTTTTGCCTGTGATCACTGTAGTTCGAGTCTTTGTCCCCCTCACACCTGGATCACTCTATACCTGCCATCTAATCTCTTCTTTCAGGACCTCCTGGGAACTGTCAGACCTATATTCTAAGACCACCATGTCAATCCTGATGAAGTCTGGCAGTATTAAGAAGCCCTCTTCCCAACCAGATGGCGAGGCATTTAATGCATCAGGAGAGCCTGCCATTCCCCTATCCCTTCCCCTCTGACTGCACCCCAGCCTGTAACTGCACTCTCCTCCCCTGGATGCAGCTACAACTTGCTGGCCCCTTACTCACTGGGTGCACAAATGTAGATAATACCATGTCACTCCTCCAGTGAAAACTCTTCCTGAGCTTCCCACTGCTCATGAAATCAAATCCAGTTTCTTACAACATCCCCATGATGTCTCTTACTACACACTACATCACCTCCTCTCTTCCTGGCCACATTGGCCTTTCTGCCCTTCCTCTCACAGGCCCAGCCCTTTCTGACCTCCAGAACTTTGCATCTGTCATTTCCTCTGCCTGGTGTGCCCTTCCCCCAGCTCTCTGCACATTTGGTTCCTTCTCCTTCTTTGGGGCCTGACTGAGAGTCGCTTGCTCAGA